CATGAGGTAACAAGCTTCTGGATGAAAAGCCAAGAAAGAAAGAACTTGGATATGCTCGACACTGTGTGGCCAGCAGATCCCACTTAAAACAAGCTGCCTCCAGGCTTCTTGCCATATGAGGTAAATGAGTGTCCAAATGTTCAGCCACTGTTTATCAGCATTCAGAAGGCATTCCGGTTTTCCTAGCACCAGGATCAATGTTGTAGGACATGCTCTGAGCCTCTATCCTCACTTTCCAACCTGACCAGGGTCTTAACCTGATGGACTTAGGTGAGCGCCTTCTTCTCAGGCCCTGCTTTTGCTGGTTGTGATGAGCTTGCTATAAAGAGATGAGCTCGGTTTAGCTCTCCATAATGTAGTGAAGGTCAGTGGGGCAGATTGTCCTTATGGAGAAGGTCTCTGCTACCAATGATACCACAACTCTGAGGGTGCTGAAGACAGAATATCTATGATGCCTCTAGAAGATAAATTACTCCAGTGCCCAGCCCCTGTGACACAGTGACCTATTGATCCCATAACTATGTGATATAATATGGCTGACCTTTAAGACAGATTATGCTCATGGGCTTGATCTAATCTCTGAGCCATCAAAAGCAGAAAGCTTTCCCCCAGCTTGGCCAGAGTGGAAGTCAGGGCTATCCAAGGTGTGAGGAGGATCTAGTACATCCTTGGTTTTGAAGCTGAAGGGGCCTATGTGGCAAAGCATTTGGGTTAAACTAGGAAAATGGCTCTGTGGTGGTTTGAATGTCATTGATCCCCACAAGCTCATAGGGAGTGGCACTATTAGGAGGTGTGGCTTTGTTGGCGTGGGTATGGCCTTGTTGGAGGAAGTGTGTCACTGTAGGGGCGGGCTTTGAGGTTTCCTATGCTTAGGATACCTCCAAGTGTCTCAGTAGACTTCCTGTGGCCTGCATATCAAGACGTAGCCAAACACCACATCTGCCTGCATGCCGCCATGCTCCCCGCCATGATGATAATGGGCTGAATCTCTGAAACTGTAGTCAAGCCACCCCAATTAAACATTTTCTTTGTAAGAGTTGCTGTGATCATGGTGTATCTTCACAGCATAAAAACCCTAATGAAGACAGGCGCCTACTTGAAAACCAGCCAGGAAATAGGGCTTTCTGTCCTACAACCACAAAGAACCGTGTTTGTAGCTGTTCCCTCCAGATGGAAACATTGCCTTGTGGAGGAAGCAGAGAGGATCACAAGACTCATGAAATTCCCAATATTTGCGAGGACCCTGCTGAGGTTTAATAATCAGTCAGCAGCTCCTGGGAAGGGGGCTCTTCGGTAGTCTAGCTGCCTGCAAGGTGTGTGGGGAGCTCCACAGTGCAGCTTTTGTGGGCTGGCACCTAGTAGGACAGGGGTTTTGGTAATGCAGCTGCCTGAAGCACTCAGGCTTCCTTAAGTAATCCTCCATGCACTCTCCTGTAAGCAACCCCAAAACTCACTGGTCACTCAGTTAGGCTTAGGTGGAATTACTACTTTGGTTTGCCATTGCTTTCTAGGATGCATAGAAAGAGTACCCACCCCAGGAAAAGCAATGCAATGGTTATTGTTTCCTTTCCCAACTGTGAATGCACTTGGGACAGGTTCTCCCTCAAACCTGGAGCCTCATCTGGCCCAGCACCTTGACTTTGGCCTTGTTGATGCCCTGACCATATAAGACATATCTGCCTCACTTTCCTGAATAACTCCCTGTCTTTGATGGTTCTGCAAGGACCTGAGAGGGCCATCAGCATAAAAGTGAACTGGGTAAATGTTCAGGCTCGGCCCCAGAGTCTACTGAAGGGCCTTCTGGAAACAGTTTAAAAGAGGGGAATAGCATGCTCCCACTTGTAGTCTAAACTACATTACAGGAGAGAGCACTCCCAATTTGGTAGGCATACAGTAAAATGACTGCAATCTCTCCCCTCATGTAGAATACAATGACTAAACCTGCTAAGGGGAATTTGAAAGCTGAAATCCAATCCTTTCTTCTGTGACCAAGGAAACTGAAACCAAACTGAGCTACCAAAAAAGGGGAAATGCCAAATCAGTCATTTCTCCACGGGAATGCTCTAAGAACACTCCTGTTCCTACTGAGTGTTCAGCCACTACATCCATTTTTTTCCTATCTCAAAGGGCTGTGCACATGGCTAAGAAGCTCCTCCGAGGAGTTCAAAACAGCTCTTTGGAGACAAAGCCACTGTGTCTGAGTTAAGAAGACCTAAACATTTGAGAAACTGAGCACCATGGTTTCCATGGTGACCACTGAGGAGACAGGTGCACATTCTAATAAGGCTGGCTAGCCAGCCAGCACCCAGGGAGCAAAGGCTGTGGGACATTCCAGAAAAACTCACACATACACAAAATCTGAGTGAGTGGCTAGCCTGCCAGCAAATTCTCCTCTCAGGAGGAACAGTTCTGAGCTCTATGCTTTTGGTCCTGGGCCAAGTTCTTGCTTACCCATTATTTCATTTAGCCATCACCAAAACTTTCTAAAGTTGATTTGTGCTCTGTTACCTTTTGCTGATAAAGAAATGGCAGCAGCTTCCCGGGACTGCTGGGTTTATGAATGTGACTATGACCCAGCTATGTATCTTTTGTGTGTGTGTGTGTGTGTGTGTGTGTGTGTGTGTGTGTGTGTGTGTGTGCTTCTTTTTCTTTTTTTTAATTTTATTTTACATATCAGCCACGGATTCCCTTGTTCTCCCTGCTCCCGCCGCCCCCCCCCCCCCCCGCCTTCCCCCTAGCCCACCCCCCATCCCCATGTCCTCCATGGCAAAGACTCCCCTGAGGATTGAGTTCAACTTGGTAGATTCAAGTCAGGCAGGTCCAGTCCCCTCCTCCCAGGCTGAGCCAAGTGTCCCTGTATAAGTCCCAGGTTCCAAACAGCCAGCACATGCACTGAGGACAGGTCCCAGTCCCACTGCCTGGATGCCTCCCAAACAGATCAAGCTAATCAACTGTCTCACTTATCCAGAGGGCCTGATCCAGTTGGGGGCTCCACAGCTATTGGAAAAAGCACAGGGACAAATAGCCAAACGAATGGAAACGCAGCTATGTCTCTTGTTCCTCTCATCTGCTAATAAACCTCTTATACTGCCCCTCTGAGGAGCTCCCCTATGTCAGGGAAAGAGAGGTAGAGCCTAGGGTTTGGGGAACAGTCTGAGAGGTCCTATCTCCAAGGATGCAGCGTGCACTGATTTACAGCTTACCACTCACCCATTGTTATAGATTCTAAAAAAGTTTTCAATATGTCATTGTGAAAAATTGTATCATCAGAGGATGGAGAGCCAGCTTGGTCTGCAAAATGCCTGGCACACAAGCGTGAGAACCCAGGTACTATCCCCAGCATCCATGTAGAAAGCTGGCATAGTAACAAACATATATAATCCCAGTACTGTGGGGGAGCAGAGACAGAAGGGTCCCTGGGACTTGTTGGCTGACCCACCCAATTAAATCAGTGAGCTCTGGGTTCAGTGAGAGACACTGACTCAAGAAAATCTGGTGAGGATCAATCAAGGTAGACACCTGACATTGATGACTGGCCTCCACATGCACGCGCACACACACACACACACACACACACACACACACACACGCATGCACACGCACACACACAAATATGTAGTTAAGTTACCATAAGAAAGAATTCTCCGATGAAGGACAGAAAGACTTGAGAATGACATTGAAACTGAGCAAGCACAGAAATGGCTAAGCTACCCATAAGTTTTGTGAAGTCAAATGAATAAAGATGAGTTAAAGGACATTGGCAACCTTAGACCATTCACATCCATCCTACATGCCCGCTACAGAGGTCAAACATATCATCATTAGAAAATAAACTCCTCAAGTAGATGTTCTTAAGAGGAAAATACATACTAAGGTAATAACAATGCTCCACACCTTAGCATAAAGTAGAGCATTGGCGTCCTGTTGCTGAGGGAATGCTCAGCATTGAACGCCTAAACAAGGAGGAGCCATGAAGCAAGAGACATAAAGCACAGAACAGAAGACAGAGAAGTTCAGAATCCAGGGTCTCCTGGAGACGCTACAAGAATAAAACAAGCGAAAGAATTCTAATAATGAAACAGATGGGTTCATATTTCTCTACATCATTTTAAGAAGAATAAGGAAACCATCTTCCAACTTTTTCATTTGTTAAGTAAGAGAGTGTAAGAGTGTGTGTATGTATGCATGTGCACACTTGTGCACACCCTCATGTACATGTGAATATAGCTCATAGGTGGAGGTCAAAAGATAATTTGTAAGCGTCGGTTCTCTCTTTCCACCTTGTAGGTCCTGGAAATTGAATTCGGCTTGTTGTGCCCCCACTGAACCGTCCAGCCTGCTTACCATCTTCCATCTTTAAGGGAAACTAAGCTATGATTGAAATGTGATAAGTGTTGGATAATGTGATCTTAAAAGGCAGGGCCTCTAAAGAGGTTAAGTCATGAGGACTCCTCCTTCACCAACAAGGTGAAAGGCCCTCTAAAAGAGTCATCCTGCCATGTCAAGCCTTTCTTTCTTTCCATCCATCCACCATATGAGGTCTTAGCACCCTTCTCTCTAGAGGTCACAGGGACAACCACACCTCGAAAGGGGAACACAGCCTCTCACTAGGTACATGAACCTTGATCCTATACATCCAGTCTCCAACCTATGGGAAGTAAGTGTCTGCTGTTTGTATGCCTTCCTGCCTCAGGCCTTTCATTATAGCAGCATAAACAGACTAAGACATTGAGTGTGCCTCACCTCTTTTTGGGAAATTTGTGTTGGTACTCCATACGTAACCTTCTTTGACCCTGTAAATACCACCACAAGGCAGGAAGTTATTCAAGGAAAAGACATTTAGGTAGAGTGGTCTTTCTACCATCGGCCAAAAGAGAAAACACAAGCATCGCATTCACCTCTTTCATTCAGACAGAGCCCCTGCTGCTGCTTCTAAACCCTGGTAGGCCGAAGCCCATCACGCCGCCGGCAATGAGGGTTTAAATTGGTGCAGTACTCACTCGGAAAACCTTTTCCACTCTTGCGATGCTTTTGCCAAAGATGGTTCCAAGTTGGTCTCCGATTCCAGCCAATAAGAAACCAAAGAGAGGGATCCCAAAGATGGCATATAAAATACAAAAGATTTTGCCTCCTTCGGTGCTGGGAGCAATATTCCCATACCCTGGGGAGAAAGAGTAGAGGGAGAAAGGGAACGCAGTGAGGTGGCAGAGAAAATAGAGCATTAACCAAAGAATCCCCAGAATTCATGTTGTCCAAAGCCCTTTACAACTCCAAACAGTGTCTCCTTGCATCTCTCCCTACAAATAGTCTCCGTGTTTCTGAGAACTTAATACGTTTAAGAAATGTGTGGTCAGCCTGAATTGCATTTCTGATGGAAAAAAAATGGTACTTTGCTCTTCAGAAACATCACACATCATGGACACGATTGAACGGCCCAAAAAGTTTCACCTTTGCCTCTGTAGACAAAAGCCGCTTGTTACAGTTCTGTCCCATAAGCATCCTCTTTGCCTGGACTTGCTGCATCCAACATCTGCTCTCACAGAGTAATAGGTGCTGAAGGTTAAAGAGGGAATATGGTCTACGACAAACTCACAAGGGTCAAGTAACTGGTCCTTCCCTAACCTGGGAAGCCTGCTACTCGGGAAAAATGAGAAAGCAAGGACTCTGTGTCTCTTTCCCCCATTGACAGTGAAATCTAGCTGCGTCCAACTCTCTTTACTAGAAATGGCACACAATCCCTGGCTCTTGCATCTCCACCCACTACCCTTGCACCCAGAGCAATCAGAGCTAAATAAATGTTTGGAGATAGAATAGATGTTTGAACACAAAAGATTCCATCTATAGTCAGGTCAAAAAATGAGTTTCACATAGTATATAGTTGTTTGAAAATATGAACATCTTCATTCTTAAGAGTTTTGCAATTATGTAAGTAATTCAGGTATACTGAGTGTTGGACTTTGTGGTGGTTTGGAAGAAATTGGCCCCCATAGGCCCATAGCGACTGGCACTATTAAGAGGTGTGGCCTTGTTGGAGGAAGTGTAGCCTTGTTGGAGGAAGTGTGTTACTGGAGGCTGGCTTTGAGGTCTCAGATGCTCAAGCTAGGTTCAGTGTGGCAAGTCTCTTCCTGCTGCCTGAGGATCCAGATGTAGAACTCTTAGATCCTTCTCCAGCACCATGGCTGCCTGCATGTCACACTTCCTATTATGATGATCATGGACTAAACCTCTAAAACTGTAAGCCAGCCCAAATTAAATGTTCTCCTTTATATGAGTTGCTGTGGTCCCGGTGTCTCTACGTAGCAATGGAAACCCTAACAAAGACAGGCTTATTCCATATAAATGGGGCTGGTGAGAGTATTACTGGAAGAAGCAGGCTTATAATAGTAGTACAATTTACATAGGATGAAAGCCTCAAGTAATTGATAGTCATTTTCTTGTCAATTAGCATTACACTCTTACAATAGCCACTTAACATTCTCCCTAGTTCAGGCAGTTCAAGTGGGGCCTGTTTCTGAATCCATGCAATGGGTGAGGTATTGGTCCACGGCAAGAGATACATTAGAGAACATGGCACAGAAAAGAACAATGTTCTCAGCATGGCCAAAAAAGAAAAACATGTTCTCGGTTGCCCATCACTTATGCTCCCATGGGCCTGCAGAGCTCGCTGTTAGATTCTGCCTTGCGGATGAGTCACTTGGCTATTTTCCTTAACAATTTTCTGTTCAGAGTCATTCAAACCTCTTACCACAAATTATTTAAATTGCACTCTCCATTTCTTAGATGGGTGTGCAGGCAAGACTTCCTAATCTTATTTTCTTTTGCTCACTATCGTGTTGATTTAAATGTGCAACAAAACTCCTGGGACTTTTTCTCTACGCTTTCAGGAGCTTGGACAAAATCATCCTGCCAAGTATACTCACCTAGAATAATCCGATTTTCACTGACTTACTCTGTTAGAAAGAGAACAAGCCCGCCTCTGCAGCTTCACATTACAGGAGCTTAAGGCAAGCCTTGGAAACATTCTAGAAGCTCGTAGAGATACTAACCATTTTAGCTTGACTGTCCCACAACAGCTTCATTTCAGGGAATACAGGTTTTCTTTTAGTCCTTCTCAGAAGGATATTGCAAAAATGAGCAAACTGAAGTATTGAGACTCCTGAGTATGCATTTGTTAATCCATACAAGCTCTGCACATGTTCTCCGGTGTGCTCACAGAGCATGCTGGCATCACCCTAGAATCGCTAGCAAAAAGCAAGGAGGTTTCATATCCACTTCATAATACCTCACTGTCCTTTGACCCAAGTCTTATGGTATTGGAAACATTCAAGAAAAAAATGTGGGGAAAAAAAAGAGTATTTAATGATGGCAGTAGCAGAACTGATTCATGGACCAGAATGCCACAGTAAAATAAAATTGAAGTTCTCCAGCAAGGGTGTTAATAAGGCAATATTCAAATATATCATGTATGTATGTATATATGTATGTATGCATAAATGTATTTAGTTGACACAGTGTGTGTGTGTGTGTGTGTGTGTGTGTGTGTGTGTGTGTGTGTGTGTGTGCATGGGTACCTTGAGCTGGGTTAGCTCAATGACTTAAGTGGATCCATGGTCATGGTGGCTGGGTAAACATGGTGCCTCTTAGGCAGCAAAATACCAGTGAGGCTGAGAACTAGAGGAGATAGCTCACCTGCTGCTCAAAAAGAACTAACTTGGCACATCAGAACTAGGCGCAGGGAGAGCAAAGGCAGCCCAGAAGTCCCTCTACCAACCAGCTGCTTCTCACTCTAAGCAAAGGATGACAGCAAGAACATTGAGAAACAACAAGGTTGTGTCAGCAGAGGACCAGACAGATCTCAGTTCTGATCACCCCTAAGTAGAAAACATCTCCAAGTCCTTAAAGAAAAAGCTAGTGTTGAAAGACTTAGTCCTGAGACATAAAGAACTTTCCACATGCTCCTTATGTGCCAAAATGCCCAACTGTGACTATGGAACCAGCCTGGTCTGTGCTTGCAGGGATGTTCTATTGCATGCATGAACTGTGTGAGTCAACGCGTCCTCACACTTAGGAAGGTCCCGTGTAGGGGGCCAAAAAGTCTTTGTGCGTACAGATAAGCACTGGGGAAGCCAGAAAAAGGTAAGCACATAACCTGTTTCTTCAGTGGAATGAGGTGCTTAGCTGTTCCTCCTGGAATGCTGGGAATGGATGTTAGTTTACAACCTGATGATCCTTTGTTGTCTAATGAGCCAGGCTCTAACCCTATCTCCCACAATTTAAGCTTTACTTATCCTAAACCTAAATCTTGAACGTTACTTTTAGGCCATTAAACTCATCCCTATGAGTGATGTCACTTGAATTTTACAACTAGGTAACTTTTATGTTATCTTTGGGCCAGGCCAATCCTGACACTCACAGGCACTCTGTTTACCTCAGTTATTCTCCGTAGACCCTAAATCTTGGACACTATATCTGAGTCAACAGTACCTATCTTTGTCTAAAAAAAAAAAAAGCCAGATGTATTTTGTAAAGAATAGCAATGTAAACATGTCTTAAATTTATTGTGTACTTGGGGCTGAGTTAATTGTTACCAGGAAGCTTTTTTTCCAAAATTGTTCTGTGCTTAAATATGGCTAGAGTAAATGATCTGGTGTCAGACTCTTGAAGTCTTGAGCTAGCAACTGCTGCCTAAATCAGACTGAACCAAGTGTCATTCTTCCCTCAGACGTACCGTTTCTCTGACAGTTGTAAACCTGAAGGGACCTTCCACAGTCCTGTGCTTGATTAAATGTCCTGTTTCTCCCAAGTTGATATTCTTAATTACTTGTTAATAATGAACCATGTGTTCCTATTTTGCACCAAGCCCTGCTGGTCCTAGCCAATGACGTTGGGTGAAGACACTAGGCTCCACTGCTTACTTCTTGTGACATAATGGGTAAGTTGTTGAACTTTTTCAGGCCTCATTCTCACCATTAGTAAGAATGTGATCATTTCCTGCCTTTCTGGAAATGATGATCTGTGGAAAAGCATCTACACACAGGCGCGAACATCATCCCTCCAGCTTACAAAAGCTAGCTGCTATGGATCTCCCAGCAGAGGCAATAATCGAAGGCAAAGGGGACTTCTCATATCAGAATTAGATATGAAGAAATAAACAGGTGTAAGGCACCCTTGATCTATACCAGTCTTCCTTCTGGTCAGGCTACTGGTTTGGAAATGTTCCTAAATGTATTTATTTTGCCGCATGACTATTCCCAGATGCCCATAGAAGACTAGTTCCAGGAGTCCCTGCAGATAACAGAGTTCATGGATATTCCATTCTCTTACATAAACACCATATTTGATATAAACCTAAACACTTTCTTCCATATAATCTAAACCCTAATGCATTGTAAATGTATGTAAATCTCTGTTAGACTGTATTGTTTAAGGGATGATGAGATGGAAGAACAGTCCAATGTGCATACATTTTTGTTTGAATACTTTCAATCCATAATTGGTTGACTCTATATGAAAGCAGAGATACGAAGGGCTAATGGTACAAGCATAATCTCTGTATATATCTGCACATTAAAGGCTCTTTTAAAAGGTGTATTGACATGGAGTCATAGGGCCACTTTTCAGAAAAGGCCATTCCTACACGCATAACTTCATGCTGCTCATGACAGTCTTCCTGGAAAATGATTTGGCACACCCTTAAAAGCTCTGTGCCCTTTGACAGAGCAACTTCGTTGGACCTTTTCCAAGGAAACAACCAACCTCCTGCATAAAGGTTTTAACTGCGATGTTAAGAGGGTCACAAAAGGAGCAACATCTTAATCTCTCCACAACATGTGACTACAGTATGGGTAGTGAGCCCAAGGGGGCCATCGAAGATGGGCTTTGCCAAGAACTGCGAAGCTCTAGCATTGCTAGTAAGGAAAATGTGATCAATATTAGCTCACAAACTATATGACCTGGAGCAAACAGACCAGGATATGAGCTGCACAGTTAATGAGATAAAGCTTCCCAGGATAACTGCTCCACTTCCCTGACTCCTGAAGAGTGGACGGCCTTTCAGGGACAGCTGAAGAATGACCAGCCCTGAGATTACTTGGAAGCCTCGTTGCAAGCCTTGCAATGAGCTTACCATAAGTACTTGGCTTTTTTAAATTTGGCAATTTGTTTTCTCACCTCATTCCTTCTTACATTATATTAAGCTATTTTTTTTAACTTCTCTAGCTACATGGCTTTAAAAAGATCCTCTACTCTGGAATTCAATCTTACTCAGCTAAATAGTACCCAACTTACAATTCGTTATGTCTCAGTTAAGAGGAAGAAAGGGAAAAGTCACATTTACTAAGCTGCATAGAACAAGGACCCAGCCTGCCGTAGACTGTGAGTGGTGGGTTATATTTTTGTTTGTTTTTGTTTGCACACTGGCTTTGTAGTGGTTGCCTGTTGGTAGCCAATCTTTGTGATTTGGAGTAAAGGTACTGGTCCTATGCACAATTGGTCAGGCATAGTGGCTAGTCTCTTTCTACAGAGGAAATGGCCTCTTAAATAGCCAAGACAAGGACACATGAACCCAGAGACTCATCCAACATGCATCTCTGCCTAAAACTTGAATCAAGAGCGTGTGGCCCAAAGATGGCAGCCACAGTAGAGTGCCAGAAGAGTCAGGCACTGATCGTGGGGTCAAAGGATATTTATGGACCCTCTATGAACTCTCTTCTATCTGTGCACATTGGTGAGGAATGTCTAGATTACAGAAAATCCAATGCAGACCAACTTAAGCCTACACAATGGGAAATCCCACTGACCCAAGAAAAACAGGAAATTTAATATTTTTCTTAGTATTTTGTAAGTAGCTCCATTCAGAGCTCACAGGGCATGAGTAGGAACCACTTACCTCTAGCCCTTTCCTTACTCGAGTAGTGTTAGCTCAACTCTAGACAGAGTAACCCACCAAGGGAAGACAGCAAGGGGCATTAGAGTGACTTGGTCTTCCCTCTCCAGGTTTACCACCAGTAAGAAAGTGAGGAAGCCATTCCCTCTAGAGGTCAAGCAAAATCCCAAGAAGTTCTTGTTGGCAATCTTTGAACTGGTAACTCTGGCCACAAAACTGAATTTCTTTGTATAGATAATGCCATTTTCCCCAGAGCCTAGGGGTCATGAGTATGGAATGGGGGTCATGGGTGGAAAGGGGAGATTGGATATACTGTTGTTGAGACAGAGATGAATTTTTTAAAAAAAATGTATGAGTGATGGGTGGCTGGAAAACCAAGTAAGTACCATTAGTAAATACCATTAGTATTTTATTGAAAATCATGCCAATACTTCAGAGGCCAGCATAGACATTGCTATTTCAATGCATCAAACAAAACCCTGATTTAGCACTTTCATGCAACAAGGAAATAAATAGGTTTTTCCCAATCTATTATTTGTAATATCCCCTAATATCCTCATGGATCCAATACTGGCACTTGAAAGTATTTTCCAAAGTATACCTTTTGAAATGGCCAAGACTCTCCCAACTTTAATTATTTTGCAAATCCTTTAAAAATGCCTGTGCCTTTCTTCATTCTAACAACCAGACTGTCAAACATATTCTAGCATAACATCATTCTTATCTGATGGATGACTGCAATGTCCTTGGGTTGGCTCAGGTTCATAGTGCATGAGGGTCTAGACCACATGCTTTCTCTGTTGGGTATAGTGAGTCTGTGAATTCCGGTGGCCTCACCTGATCCAGAGGTCACGGAGGCTTCTGGGTGCAGACCTACATGTATAATGGACACTTGGAACTCTGACAATAGCTGGTATTAATGAATTTAAGAATTGAAAATGTAAAATAGTTTGTCATCTAATTAGATTAAGAGAGTTGGTGGTTAATTTTAGGTGCTTATTTGACTGGGTTATGAATACCTAGAAAACTGGTAAAGCATTATTACTTGATGTGTCTGTAAAAATGTTTCTAGATGTTTCCACAGGGCATTGTCATGTGAGTTGAGGAACTAAGTGTGGAAGATCCATCCTCATTGTCGGCAGGATCATTGGCTGAGAGCTTGTATAGAACAAAAGGGGGAAGGCATGGAAAAGATCTCTCTCTCTGTCTCTCTCTGTCTCTCTGTCTCTCTCTGTCTCTCTCTGTCTCTCTCTCTCTCTCTCTCTCTCTCTCTCTCTCTCTCTCTCTCTCTCTCTCTCCCTCCCTGTCTCTCCCACACATAGGCACATACAGCTCAGATACATCTTGCTTCTTCTACCCTTCGACATCAGAAGTCCAACCTCTCTGGCCTGTAGTCACCAGGATTTATACCACTGCCCTTGTGGACTTTTAGCCCTTTGGCCTCAATGTGAAAGTTTTACCATCAGCATCCCTGGATCTGAAACCTTTGAACTTGAGCTAAACCATCTAAAAGCACTCCATGGCTTCCATTGCAAGTAGCCTGCCAAATGGATCTGTCTTGGGCCCATGATTGCAGAAGTCAATTCCCCTGCCCTGTGTCTATACACATATCCTCTCATTTCTGCTTCCCTGAAGACCTCAACTGATACAAGTCTCAGTAAGAATGACAATTCTCTTTCCTTCTGAATGTTTATGTCACATATAACTTTTTTGATTTCACTAGTATAGAAGAACATATTATACCTTATGATTAGATATTAAAACAAAAACAAAAATGCATGCCTCTAAAACAACTCTTCACCTCTAAAGCATGCCCACACTGTAAACCAAAGTTAAGAGCTTTTCAAAAGAAGTAGCTGGGCCTCAGAGAGAACCAGAGTAGAAAGATACTCCCAGGAAGGTTAAAGCCACCTCAGAGTCTCCTCCTGACACTATCTTCTGAGTTCTAGAACCACAGCTGTGCACCCTCACCTCCAAATTCTCCAAGAGCCTCTCCTAACTCCTGAGGGTGATTTCCAGCCAGACAAATGACGAGGGGGAGCTAATATCATCTAATGATTAATAAACTAATAAAAAGAAGAGATGCACCAACACTTACACAGGTTAACACAGAGCAAGTGTGAAGATGGGGGCTAGAGACCAGACTGTAAATCCTTTGCTCTTGCCTCCTATGTAGAATGGGTGCTGCTTGGAACATGCAAAAAGAAACAGAGATGCTGGGCAAGCTTACTGACTCACTCCGTGGACTAGGTGAGGGCTCACAGTTATTATTTAAAGCTGACAACTCACAAAATAGAAGCCACATTAATCACTTTAAGGCAAACATTGAAAAGACAATGTCAGCTAAATTGTGTGGTGGAGAAAGATGGGAAAGGGAAATGTCATCACTCATAATCAGGATCTAGGCATACTGGCTAATGACTAGAGCATAGAGGTTATTATATACGATTTTAAAGTAACCCCTGAGACAAAAACTCACAGTACCTGAGCATCCAAAAACATAAAAAAATAAATGCATAAAATAAGGTTGACACTGTCACCGAAAAGCAGTCATGATGGTGAGGGTCAGCTGCAAAGAACATGTGCCACAGTCAGCTTCAGGCAGATACCCAGTTTTTATGTAATTAAACTATCGTAGGAAGATAGAGACAAAGAAAGTGGAGCCCTCTGCAAGTGGAATGGGAAGGAAGGAAGAGACCAATGCTTTTCCACTTGCACAGTGGGAAGTTGAAAAACAATCCCTAAAACTGGAAATTCTAGAAGTAGCAATAACAGTTTGATATTGAAAAGCACAGAGGTGGGTATTGAAACCATCAGACAAAGAGATGCAAGCTATTTTCTCTGGAACAATTTAAAAAAAAACTGGAGAGGGGAAAAGGTTTTTTTTTTCCCCATACCCAACTTTGTAGAACATTTTTATACCACAATATACAATTCGACCAAGAAGCACAATCTTTAAAATGGAATCTGAGCACAAACAGAACAATCTGAGTTCAATTGGTCAATCTGTACATTCTACTCATGCCTTGGCATTAGGGCTCCTTCAGTTAAAACGCTTTTCTGAAGTCTTCCCCCATGCTTTGGTTTTTATTGAAAGCACCCACAACAGCCGTGTTCACTTGACCAAGTAGGGAGAACCTGGCCCCACATCTTAAGAAGGCAAATTCTGTCGAGCCGTTCCTCAGAAGGGCCTGCAGAGGAAAAACGACTGGTAAGCGAATGGATACCTATGGTCGTGATGACAGTTCCAGCAAAGAAAAAGGCACTTCCGAGGTCCCAGTGACTGCTGCTGTTGGAAGAGTTTCCTACTGGGCTGACTCCTGCGTTGTCAGCATCGAGCGCGTGCTGCAAAGAGAGGGAAAGGCACAAGAATGGGTTAGGAGGAATTTTTTTTAAGCTCCTGATACACTGCTGTACGGCTCACGAACCTGCAAGGATCTAGACACCGCCGGTGACGCAGAAGAAAGGAAGGACATGCATCAAGGGGTCGCACACACCCGTGAAAATCACAAGGTGACTTTTAAGTGGGAGAAAAGTCTAAGATTTAGAGTATTTATATAAAAGTTTATATAAATGTATATAAAACTTACAGGCATGGGTGGCCTCAGTTATGCAAAATGCATACATACTACCGTGTGTACAGATAGGTGTCTAGCAGAATATTCACCCAAAGTGGTCGTTTCTGGAAAGGCGGGTCATAGGTTTCTTTTACACTCGCCTTCTTTCTGTATTGTTAAAGTGCTTTCCACTGAGTTTCTTCCAAAAGCACAGGAGTCTGAAACTCAGGCACCAAGTCAGACCAGCTTTGTTCTGCCTGTCATTAATACCAGGATCTTAGGTACTTTATCTCAACCTCTCTAAGCCCAATTAACTTATTTGCAAATTGAAGGTGAGACCTTCACTTGCATAGCTATAAGGATTTAATGAAGTGCTCCCTTTAATATTCTTAGCCCTTGCCTGTTTTTGTTAGGATTTACCAAAGACAACCACGTGATTCAGGGACATGGTTGTTCAAGGTATAAACATCATAAAGTGAGCCAACACAAACAAAAATCACTATATCAGTAAGTTTACTGGGGCCACCATCATGGATGTGGCCCGTTTTTGACGGAACTGTTGTGCAGTACATAGTTATAACACCAGTTCCATTGGTATCATTGCCCACGCTCACCCTCACACACAACTACTACTTTTTTATCACACTGTTGAAATTGTGTTTGGGGGGAGAGGGTGTGCAGGCACCACAGTGCACACGTGGAGTTCAGAGAATGGCCTGAGGGGGTCAGGTCTTTCCTTCCAGCATGCAGGTTCTGGTGAGGGAACTCAGACCATCAGGATTGGCAGGAAGCCCCTATTACCCCAGAGGCCACCTCACCAGTCCTTCCTTCTTTTTTTAATTAGCCTGAATGACTCCTCAGTGACCACTGGAATCCATACTCTACCTCAATATAGCCACTACATTCTCCACAATAATGCCCCAGCCATGGGAATGCCCCCAGTCCATGGGGTGCCCCCTCACTCCCCTGTGCCTTTGATTACACTCTCCCATAAACTATGCCCACCACCCAGGGTCTAACTCAGTCCCCTCTTTTCCCCACAGCCTCAATCTATGCATTACAGTTCCACAGTTACCCCCTTCCCAGCTTATGCTTGTACACCAAGCCCGCATCACCCCAAACTTCATCCCCAGCTTCAGCATGAACAGGAGGAAGATAAACCCTCTCAGGGGCCCTTCCCGAGCTGGTCCTGCCATCTTGCTTCAGGTAGGGTGCAGAAGGAGCTGCTCTCATGCATCTCAGGCATCTGCAGTCCACAGTCGTGGGCTGTAATGATGAACCTTCCACCTGGGAGCTTCGCAGGGGCGGGGGTTGGGGGGAGGTGACAGAGGCATGAGCTACTTAGAGAGATTGAGACTCCAGATCCTGGGCAAAGTTGGAATCATCCGGTGTAGAGAGGGCAAGGCACAAATAATGAGACACGTTTCTCTTTGTCCTCAATGGTGCCCGTTAAACTTGGCTCAAACAGATGCATAGTGGTTGTCACAAATCAGAGGACAACTGGAAGGTCCTTATTCTCTTCAATATGAATGCTTAATGAGATCACTCAGGCTTTCTAGGACAGGGATAAGTGACCTGTTCTATAAACTGCCACACGGTGAATATTTTATTTAGCCTTGGCAGGTTACATAGAGTTTCTGTGGCTTATTTTTTTTCTTTCTGTTCTTTTATAAATAACTGCTTAAATATGCAAAAATATCTTTCCTACTTCAGAGGTGGTATGAAAACAAGCGATCGAATAGATTTTTGCATGCAAATAAGGCTGCCTAAGTGACAGGGTGAAGACATTCTCTGTTTAAGTCTGTAGTCTAATCCTCCTTGCCCCTTGGAACATGAAGTATTATGAAGGTGAAAGTAAGCTATGGTTTCTATAATTAACGCTAGCACCCCAGAATTTAACATCAGCTATATGGGCTGTGCACAGATGCTTTTGCCAATGGTTTGAATCAGCATTGAGTGACAGGTGGTGCATTCTGATCTACTGTGCATTGGTACATGTACATGTGGGTGTGCATGTACGTGTGGGGGCCAGAGGTCACAACTGGGTGTCCTCCTCTATCATTTAGCAGCTTGGTTTTTTTTTTGTTTGTTTGTTTGTTTGTTTGTTTGTTTTTTAAACAAGATCTCTCACTGAGCATGGAGCTCAACAACTGTCTAGACTGGCTGGCCAGCAAACTCTGGGATCCTCCTGTCTCCCCTTCCTCAACACAGACATTACATATGTATGCATCCCACCTCCACCTAGTTTTTATGTGGATGCTGTGGTCCTCACACTTGTGTAGGAGGCTCTCTGCCAACCAAGCCATCTCCATGGCCTCTACTCTGCTTCTGAGGGAGACAGGTAGGAAGGGCTAAAACCTCACTTCACTGTGCTGTGTGAGAGCTATCCAACCATGCCAGACAGTCTGAACCATGGTTTCTATCCATCCTCATTATCTATCCACCTCTGATGGCTCCACTCACAAATTATACCTCCAGGACAGTTCTCGGCCTCAGTCACTCCGGCTTCAAATCACACCACCAATACCCAGTAATTTACATCTTCCATAAGACTTGAGAGTTTATGTTCAGTCAAGTCTCACAGAGCTGCGAATTTCACACAAACATCATAAATAAACCCAGCACCACACATAGAATACAGATTTGCAAGAAAGACAAATGGGAGTGATTATTTTTATATCGAAAGATCTGAAGTAAGACGCCTTTTCAAGTTTCACTTTTCTTGAATAATGCAGTTAATGAATATTTGATTTTTTGGCAGGTAACCCTCAAAGGAAGTGTTTATCAACTGAAAGGGGAGGGAACTAACACTTCTCAAGCACCCGCATTGAGCCAGGTACATAAGAAGTACCACTAAGTTTATTCCTCCCCCGAGTCCCGAGAAGTTGCTGTCATTCCCACTTCAGTGATGCTGCAACAGGCATGGGAAAGTTGACTAATCCATCTGAGGTCACAAAGCCAGGAAGGAGAGAAGCCTTGACCCAAACCCCGTCTAGCCCAAAGTGGATAGTTTTGCTCCATTCTCTACACACGATACCCAGAATGCACTCCACTTCTCCTACTTCCATCCTCATGTCCACATGAAGATGAAGCATGGCCATTGTCCTAGAATGTAGGCAGGAGGGACCTCACAGGGGTCAGTAACTTGGGTACTTGCAAGGAGCACCTCCCCTTGATAGCCAGCTATGACTTGTTTCATATCTCTGAAGTAAACTCCCTTCTTTCCCCTAAATCACATATAAAGTGGGCAACATACCCCAATGCCCAGAGAAGCAGTTCTATGGAGATTTTATATGAGTTGCTTTGGGTATTGTGAGCCCACTGATGATCTGAACTAAATCACTACGAGCAAGACTTGGAAATAGAAAGAAGGTGAAAATATGCTTTCCAACGAGCCTCCAAACTCTTGGTAAGGCTTTAAACGTTTGATTCTATGTAAAATGAAAATGATGGGCCAGTCAGTGGTGACGCACACTTTTAATCCCAAAACTCAAGAGGCAGAAGTAGGTGGATCTCTGTGAGTTCAAGGCCAACCTTGTCTACAAAGGGAGTTCCAGGACAGCCAGAGCTACACAGAGAAACCCTGTCTTGAAAAACCAAAAACGATAGATAGATAGATAGATAGATAGATAGATAGATAAAATCAAAATTATAAACCTGGTTGTAACTATTATTTAAATTTGGAGGGTCAACTCTTAAAACTGTAACTGATAAAAAATACTATATTTCTGAGGTACCATGTAATGCTTTAGTATATGCTATGCATTGTGTAAAGTTCAACTACAGTAAACATACTTACACCCCAAATTGTTATCATTTACTTATAGTGAAACTACTTAAAAGTTTATCTAGCATTTTAAAATTATATACAATAGAGACATTGCTTTAACCAAATAGCAGTAATTCTAAATGAGTCTATGGTTTTAATATTAATTTGTGTTTTAAATTAATTTCATTTTAAATTATTAATTTTATTTAAAATTATTAATTAATTTCATTAATTTTTAAAGTACTGCCCAATAGTTTTAATGGTTTGAGCTTAAATAAACATTTTATAATTAAATGAATTTTCTTTAATGCTCTTATTGTCTTTGTATTCATGCTACAAAAGTCAAGCTAAAGCTGGGTATGGGAGTATGCCCCTTTAATCCCAGAACTTGGGAAACTGAGGCAGGAAGATCAGGAGTTCAAAGCTACATAGAGTGCTAGGCCCACCTGGGCTTCATGGCACTATCTCAAGACAAAATAAAGGGGGGGGGATAAGAAAGCATCCAGGATTTCGTGACCATTTGAGCATACAGGTAATGAGATGACACAGCTGAACTGTGTAGAGTTGAGTTTGAGAGGCGTTGTCTGGGGCTGCGGAGACAGCTCAGAGGTAAAGCACTTGCCTAGCTGTTCAAGGTTCTAGCTAGTACCTCAAAGTACCAGTCCCTCAACTCCAGTACCTCAAAAAAATAAATAAATAAATAAATAAAAATAAATAAAGTTATATGTGGTGAAAATTCAACTGACATTAATATCAATTTGGGTCACAACCTCTGACTCAGTGAGCATCTTCTATTCACCTGCAAATTCAACCACTATTAAGTGCAAAGGTCTTGGGAACAGGCAGATGGCAAGTGATGGGTAGATGATAGATGATTGGTGAATGAAGTATTGATAGATGATAGATAGATATATCATAGGAAATGGGTAGGTGATAGGCATGTTATTGATAGATGATTCATAAATAGAAAGATAGATACATGGATGGATGGATGGATGGATGGATGGATGAAGAAAGAG